ATGGTCGGTCGGTCGGTCGGTCAAACTGAAATTGTAAACTCTACAACAACAATAACAAAATAAAAAACACCACCCCCTTTTTTGCCGTTGTCGTCATCCGCCGCCGCATCGTCATCATCATCGCCACCGTCATGATTAACGGTATTCAACAACACCAACGGGCGGAACTGCTGCCTTTTTGCCTTTGTATGGACAGTTTAACCCTCATCAGGGCACAGATTCCATGCCATGCCATTGTGGTTATGTTAACGTAACGATAACAGAATGTTAAGATTGTATATTTGTGTGTGTGTGTTTGTGTGTGTGTAAGAGAGAAAAAGAGAGTCTGCTGTTATCATATTAAGTGAATGTCTGGCTATTACAGTTTACGATAAAAGAAAACCATTTCCCCTGCTTTTTACATTGCTTTCCGAATAATACATAATGGTAAAGACATGTGTTGTGATACGGGAAGGAATTTTTGATGGTCCTTACAATGGAATATAACTGAATTTTTTAGTCGATAGGTAATTTTAATGGAAATTTATATTTACTGACATAGAAGCCAATAAATATAAAGTTGTAAAAGAATTACATTTATTGGATTTCTTCGATAGCAGATATATGTGCGCTATAGGATAACGTGTACCTAGATATTCAATATTCTAAAACCGAAGCTAGGACCAATTACGAACTACAAATAGTGTATAAAACCATCAAAATACCCAATATCGAGAGATACCCTTATATAGGGGCATTACGAGAACTTGGACCTTTGTATACAATGTTCCGCCAGCGGAGCTAGAATCCATTACCAACTACAAATAACAATTTTTAGACAAATCCAAGAGAAAATACGGCTAAAACCATCAAAATACCGAATTCGGTAGGTACCGTTATATGGAGGCTATACGAAAACGTGGAGCTATATAACCAATGTTCTGTCACCGAAGCTTGAGCTCATTACAAACAATAAATACCCTTGCAAAAAATGTAGCAAAAATCATAAAAATAGCTAATATCATTTGGGGTCTACTCTAAAACGTGTACCTACACATACAATATTCCGCCTCTGGAGCTAGAACCCATAACGAATTATAAATGCCAATTTTTAGTTAAATGGGTGGAAAGTCAAACGCCATAATTTTTACATTTTTGTTTTAAATTTTATTGAATGAAAGCTTTCCAAAATACTCCAGACACAATAGGCCGACGAATTGGTATCCGGAGATTTTGGTGGCCATTGTGCGCTGGAAATGAAGGGGACACCTCATTTTGTAACCATTCTTGGTTGGCGCGTGCTGACTGCGATGGTCCTAAGTTCTGTTGGAATGTCCAAGGTCTGCGGCCAAAATGTGTGCGTGCCCATGGCTTTAATACACCCTCCAGAATATTTTCGATAAATAAAAGCGGAGAGCGACTATCTGCTGTTATGGCGACCCACGGCATCACCATGGCCGGCGCTTGAGTTCTGGTGGCCAACTGAAGGTTCATATTTTCAGCTGACCTCTTTGGCAAGTAAACACGATCATTTTCTTTGTTTACAAACTGGTGGACATCGGAGAAAACCAAATTCGGCAGTTCACTTTAGCTCTTTTGAGTCTATTTTCTTTCTGTTGCGGTGTAAGTTCTTGCACTTTTTGGAATTTCAATGGCTTTAGAATTTATTCACATTTAAATGCTGGAGTGCTCTAACGATATCCACTTTTGGTTTTCCAGCCAGGAAATCACACTATCACGCTTGAATTTCATTACTTGCAAACAATATCACTGGAATTATTTTAACAGCTGTCGCACGAGTGTACATAATAGACCCACTCATGTGAATATGGAATATATTGACTACTCTTTCTGGTTCATACCCAACAAAACAAAAAAAATTGTTGGTTAACAATTACTCGCACAAAATTGGAAATAAATATTCGATTTTCTTTAAATTTCGTACATCCTTATATTTTAATTAGGATTAGACGAAGTGGAGTACATCGGTCCACTACATCTGGAACCTCACGCACATTTTTAAGATTTTCCAAAAATTGAAGTTGGAAGTAGTCAATAATACCCAAATCTAACATCTTGTAATAAGTTATAAAACATTGGCCCACTCCTTCGGTACCATTCCAATAAATAGTAAACATTGCAATAATCAGAACGGTTGTCAAAATTTTTATTAAAACGGACATTGGCGGAGGGCAAGTTGTCGGCAAAACCATCTGATACTTTCTAACTTGTTTTTATATATCCTTCAATTAATTCAATACCAAACCTCAGAAAATGTGAACTGACATGACCCATTTACGAACATGACCTGACAAATATACATACTTTGAAAATTGTAGATTTTCTTGATTTTTAAGAAAATCCTCTTTAAAAAATTGTCAATTAGTCAAGTAAATGTTATTTGAGGTGGAGCCTAAAAATTTGGCAGAACAATTTGTATTATGCCTAGCATGGTTGGTATTTAAAATGAGATATATCTGTCCGCGTTTTGGAATTGCTGCCATATAAAAATTATAAGTTCTAGCTCCGGTGGTGGAACATGGTATATATAGGTCCACGTTTTGGTATAAACCCCATATAACGGTACCTCCCGGTAATCGGTGTTTTGGTAATTTTTGCCACATTTTTTCCACGGAATTGTCCAAAATATGGCATTTGTAGGTTTCCAGAGCTCCGGTGGCAGAACATTGAATATCTAAGTCCACGTTTTCCTATAGTACACATATAACGGTTACATCGGATATTCGACATTTTGACGATGTAAGCCACTTTTTCTAATAGATTTGAGTGAAATTTGATATTTTTACTTCTTAATGGGTTCTACAGCCGGCGTCAAAACATTGTCCATATTGGTCATAGTTATCCTAGTCACAATTACCACGAAATTATCCAAAATTTGGTATTTAAGACTCACAATAGATTACAATCGTTGTCGGATAAAATTGCCTATATAGGCGCTCCTGTTTAAGTACCATTCTACCAACCCAACCATTCTCCTACCGATGGTACTAGTATTTGTAGTTCAAAGTGAAACACGTTTGAATCCAGATACTTTTGCATAAAAATGTTTTCTTTACCCAATGGTGGAGGATATTGGAACGTAATGTATTTTTACTTAATTCATTACTTGACTGTATTAGCCTAAAGGAAAATTATTTATTTTCCCAATATTAAAATCAAATATAAAAAATTATCTAAAAATCTACATTGCTATTGTTTTGATGCTAATTCATAACTACGGGCTTTAAGATTTAGAGTAGTCATGTAGGGTAGGGTACTGTACAAATTGAAAATAAATAAAGATGTACATGATTTTAATACTTAAATGTGACATCAGCATAACGGAGATATGTCATTAATAGGAACCATATGGTAATTGATTTAGTTCAGAATGAAGTTATAATTTCTGTTTGTTTTGAAGACCTTCGCATAGAGTATTAAAAGGATAGTTCAATTTTATATATTTTAGAAACATCCAAAATAAATTAAAGACATTGAATTGTATATATTATAGGCAGAATTTATACATTTCCTTATTTTTTATTTTTTTCTTTCGGAAAATGAATTTCAAAGAATTTCATTTCTATAAAACCAACAATTTTTAAAGATATGATTTTTACCCACATTCAGGGAGTTATGCATGATCAAGATGCGATATAGAATTCCTTTTAAAAATCATGACTTATTTTATCCAAAATCATGAAGTCCAGAATCACTTGAAATTATTAACTACTTCCTTGATTTTAATGATTTTGCTGGGTTTTTATTCAATATTCTATTTGTTCAATAACTATTAGTTGAACCGCCAGACGTAAAATGGCCAAAAATCGTGTGCAAATTTCCTTTTTCTAACAATATTTATTCAAGCCATTCTTAATTGTATTTTTTATTTAATTCAAATTCTCAACTCCAACCAGTAAGTACCAGCAACAGCATATGTGTGCGTGTCCATTTCCATTGAACTCCGAAACGGAAATGAAGTAAATTTCACATTGTATCTCTTCACAACAGTGATAACGGAAGCACGATATCGTGCATCTCTTTCTATCGCCGCAATGTAATAACATAAAATACCCCTTATGTTAAGTGCTCGTCAACACTTAGCCACACGACACTACCGAAAGCAACACCTACGACATTAAAACTTACATTTACAGTTTTACAGTTAGCATGTTATTCTCTGCATTTCCCTCTGTCTTACTTACACACGGACGCACACACACACACATCTGTAGAAATTTATCAAAACAGAGAATTTTCGTAAGCATTAAACAACCACTATCCAGAGATGATTTTGTTTACAGTAATACCGTGTCACAACCACCACCACCCAACCAACCAACCTGGCATACAATCAGACAACCTAACGGTACAATCCCCCACAAAAAACTAATGATAATTAACTGTAATGGGAAGCAAAGAGAGGGAAAGAATCCACTTGGGTCACAGAAGAAAAGAGTAAATAAAAATGAGAGGTGTTAAAAGAGCAGTATTCGCTATTTCGAGATGCTGTGAGAGCAAATACGTATGATAATAATGATGTTTATATCTGCGTTAGTATACGTGAGAGTAATACCCTTTGAGATTTGTGATGATGCTACTCTAGTCTCTCCCTCGATAAGTGTGAGCTACGTAAAAAGTGTGTACATGGACAGACGTACGGAAAACCACCAACAATCGTACAAACATACATCCCATTTACAGTTAAGTTCTTGGTCGCATGGCGGGCGGGCGGACACAATTCGGTGAGATAGTGTGCGAGTGTGTGTGTGTGAGAGAGATATTTCCACTCTAGTAAATACCAATAAAAGAGGGTCGTTTTCTGATTGTATATCCCAAAGTAGGTGTGTGCAGCTGAGTGAGTGTGTGTGTGTGTGTATGTTGATACTACATACGGGACGTTTGAATACGTTACACACGTACAATGTACGTATACGTTACTCGCAGATGAAAAGAGTTTTGTCGAGCAAACGACGACACCAACGTAAAATGCCTCTTTTGAAACTGGATGGATGTTGAGTTTGTGGTGTTTTGTGTGTGCGATTTGACTGAGTTTCACAGTTCGTACGGTCGGTCTTTCAGAGCCGTTTCTTTCTTCATTCACAGTCAAATGCAACGGTGAAAAAAATTGGAATCACTTTGTCGCGTACAAACGTGTTCTAACACAGTAGCGAACAGAACGTCGCGGCGAAAAGACACACGCGCTGTTCTCCTCTCTATTATTATTATTTTTCCAAAACAAAAGAAAAAAAATTAAATTTTGAAAAGAAAAACCACACACATACACCAACCACAAAAGAAAGAAAGAAAAAACGTTTATTACTAAAAAATAATAACAAGAAATAAATACAAGTTACAAATTGTATTCAAGTCAAAAACAAATAAATATTGAAATCAACAACCAACCTCAAAAAAGAAAAATTATTACAATTTAATAAGGTTGGAGAGTATCTGTTTACAACAAAAAAATAAGAAGTTTGAAGTGCAATAACGAAAAGCATATTTTCAAAGTTAAACTTACAAGAAGCGCAAAATTGATTAAACAACATTAAAATTTGAAAAAAAGCAAAACAACAAGTGCAACCAAAAAAAATCAAATCTTAAAAAGAAAACACTTATGAACAACCTCGATTTATCCGGATAATACCTATGGCCAATATTGTAATATCACATTGCCTAAAATGTTGATACCAGTGTCATTTGAAATTTAACTTTAATCCAAATCGGAATTTAAAATGAATCTGTAGCACGAAACCTTTCAATTGGATAGCCAGTGATATTTTTATGAAGACCCAGCTTTAAAGTTTGTAAGAGCTCGGAAAAAGCAAAAAAAAATAGAAAACCTTACAACTACTAGGAGGAACACATTTCCCCCCTCAGGAACCTTAGTGTTCTGTAGCCACAACGTTTTCTTTTTAGAGAAAAACGCTTAACAAACACTCCATTCCAATGTTGTCGTGTTTGGTGCCGTCGTCAACATCACGTTTTGGTCAAGAGGATAATATTATAAATCAAAGTATGCCCTCATCGCCAGCATTCACCATGCAATGTAAGTATTAGAAAATATTCAATTTTTAATTAAAGAAAAATTAGTTTAAAATGAATTATCTTCAAAATAGCTAGGGATTAGAAAAAAAATTAAAAAAAACTTTTCGAAAAAAATATTGCAATTATAAAGTAGTCGTAGCTTAGGTTTATATAAATATTGAACATTACTGAAACAAGGAAGGCAGGGAGTTCCAATCTAGATGGAACCGCTCTAGACTTACATAAAAAAACTAGAAACCCTACATATTTTCTCGCTTGTTTGTGATCAAATAAGTCTATCTCTCTTACGACCGAAGTAAAATATTTATTCCAAATTCCTTTCAAACTGTTCACATGACTTTGGGACAATTTTCTAGTTCTCCGATACGGTTTTTAAGGAGCATTATATATATTACGTCTAAATCTAGGTTATCATTGCTCGAATATCTTCAAATTTATGGAGCAACGATTTGTCAGAATCCAAGAAGGCAAGAAGTTTTTTGAAGTTCAGCCAATAAAATTTACCTCTTTACTCATTTAACGAATTCAAATATATTTCTAGAATCCATTATATAACTTCAATGGATTATTGTTCCCCCAAAAATATTAAATTGATATTGAATTTATCCTTGGATCCACTCAAAATTCACCTTTCGCATACATTCTTCATGACAAGAATTGGTTCGCCATTATTTTGGTCCTTCGAGCAAGCTTGGCAATTATTATGTTATGGTTTATTCAAATCAATTAGGCCTTTGACTTATGTGAGATTTTTCAGAAAGTTCGATCCCCTCAAGTTAAGTTAGTTTTATTCAAACTAAATGAGAATTAAAATCAAACATTTTAAAAACTTGACATATTGAAAAAATTAGTAGCAAAATTATTCGACATTAAAGTTTTTAATATATATTTTTTTGGAAATTTCATTTCTTGAATTTCGGATTAAAAACAAGTAAAAAAGCTGTAAGAAACTTTAAATACCCTCCACCATTTGCAACGAATTTGAAAAACGAAAACAATAACATCCGTTAAAAATTCTGTTAAAATCTTAAAAATACTGAATATAGGTCTGATATTACGGTCTATACGACGACATGGACCTGCATAGGTAACTTTTGTCATAAGCCATTACAATATTCAAAGGCGAAACTTAAAAAAATCGGTAAATAATGTAGCGAAAATCTTCAAAATTCCGAATATCGGGAGATACCGTTATATGAGGGCTATACGAAGACGTGGACCTGCACAAACAATTTCCCGTCTTAGGCTTAGTATCCATTACGAACTTCAAATACCAAATTTGAAACAATTCCGGTGAAAAATGTCGCTAAAATCATCAAAATACCGAATATAGGGAGGTACCGTTATATGGGGGCTACTTCAATTCGTTCGGAAGTAACAGTGATTCCCACGAACGGATAGATGGACAGACATACGGAAATCGACATAGAATTTTTTGCTGATCAATAATATATTTACTTTGTGGGGTCTAAAATGTATATTTCGAGGTGTTACAAACCGAATGACAAGCTTAATATACACTATATATATATATATACACTTTCGAAACCATTTTCTTGGTTAACATCACAACACCTATCATACGACAGTTGATAAAAATATCCATCAGATTGTTCTGAGCTTCATAGCACAAACGTTACATATTTTTTCTTGAAATATTTATCTCTCACTTTTTACCTATCCCTTTCATATTTCGTTCCCTGTGCATCAACAATCTGCTTCATTTGAAAACAAATAAACCTGGGTGGTCGGTCGTCTTCATGGCATACAACCTGCTGAAATTGCAAACTTTAACAATAAAAGAAACACTAATACTAACAACACAACACTCCCCCGCACATCAACAATTCTTTTGATAATGAAACTCTGCAACAAAAATGTTTCTCTCAAATCCTTCCTTTTGGAGTATACTGCGATCGTATGAATTTCACCTTAAACCATCACGCTTTCAAGAATATAAATAACGAAAACAAAAAAGTGATCAAAACAAAGTCTTCAGAGCCAAATTATGATTACGAGCAAGAAGGGAACAAGGAATAATAAACAATTTACTTTGCATCAAGTTTCAAAAAAAAAAAAAAATAAAGGAGTCCGGCAATGATCCCTTGGTGTTTGGCAATATTAGTTGCAGATGTAGTGAAAACATGAAACGGAAAAAAAATGTTTTGAATGAAGGGATGACGTTCAGTATTTCATAAAATAAACACCTCAATTTTGTTAAAGCAACGAAAATCAAGGGTATCGATAAAGACAAGAGCAAGAGGCATGTAAATGCAGAGAATATAAAATATTGATTTGAATTTGGTTTCTGTGAAAACAGACGTGTAATTTTTGAAGGATATTAAAATTCTTTTTTTTTTTGGAGAGATGGTCAATACTCACTTTCCTTTTTTGCTAGAAATGTCAGTCTGTTTTCAGGGTTTGGTAGAAACTCTCTTTTTTAAGTCGGGTTTTTTTCAAAATAAATCAAAACTAAGCTCAATAAATTAAACCAAGTTGTATCCTTCCAAAAAGTTCCTTCCGAAAAAGTTCACATTTTTCATTTTCCATTTCAAGCAAATCCTCCACATATAATATTTAGCACCATTCATAATTGCTTTTCGCTTTAGTAATTTTTATCTTCTGTGTGTGTGTTTTTTTTTTAATTTTATTTCAAAATCTATGCTCTCGTTTTGGCTACGCCTCATTTTTGCACAGGCGACAATATGCTTGGCATTTTTTGTGTGTACATTTACAAAATTTCAAATTGTGGCAATCTCTGACAAAATTGTTAATGTTTTTTGAAATGAATTGAAACATTTGGTTCTAGCTGAAAAAAAACTGAAACTGCTAACGAATATACTATGCCATGGCAATGCATGTTGATTAATTAATAATATCTAAAATGCATTTTTTACAAATTTCGTGTTTTTTTTTAAATATTTTTGGCGAATTTTTCAGCTAAAGGTGTTGAAGAGAAAGATTCAAAAACAATTTTCTTATTATTTTTTACAAATTTCGCGTTTTTTTTTTTTTAATATTGCGAATTTTTCAGCTAAAGGTGTTAAAGATAAAATATTCAAAATCGCGTTTCTTATAATTTACAAAAATAGCAAAGAAAAAAAAATATTGGAATTTTGTGTGTATTTTTCGACAATAGAATTTCATTGTTAGTTTTGAAAAATATTTAAAAAAAATTCCACTTCATTCACGTGAAAAAATTTTCGAATGATAAACCTTCCATTGACTCACTCCGGGTTTTTCCCTCATCACAAGCCAACCAATCAACAACTAGCACCAACTTAAGTCAAAAGTATAAAAATGGCCATAATTTGTTATCAAACACGCACACCTCAAGACATGCGCACACTGCAGCAAACAGGTACAAAATGAAACGCCAACGATAATAGCAGTAACACCTCTGCCAAGTCAATTACAAAGCCACAGGTGTCCAGACAGGTATTGTGGTTGGTTTGTTCACAATACAAACAAACAAAAAAAACAAACGAATGGAAAATGGTAGCTTGAATGGCGTTTTTCAAGTTACAAATAAGGCGTTGATTATTTGTGGTAAAAAAAAAACAAGATAATCACACCAGGGTTTTCCTCTGCCCAAAACAGGTTGTAGATAACATCCATAGAAACCGTGGCAAATATATGTAGGTATTGTGTTTGCTCAGGGCGATAATAAACCTTTGTTTTTAAGGTCGTTTTATTTGATTATTTGGTAGTAGGAAAATAGGTGATTAGTGAAAGGTAAATAGAAACATATTTGTAATTGATAAAATTGGATTTGAAGTAGTGGTAAACATTAAAAAATATTGACAAAAAGTAATTCCATTATAATTTGAAGAGAAATGAAGCATGTTGAATCTTGTTTGGTCTTAGAATGGCAAAATTATACTTATCACTCCAAAATGTTCTTTAAGCTTCATAAAATTTATACAGAAATTAGAAAGGTCCATTCTTCTTCAATATGGTCCTTCGAGCTATAGTAGAATCCTTTAGTTTGCATCACGGTCAATGAAATACAACTATGTAACCAAATATCAACTACTAAGTAGTCTTAAGAACTATGTGTAATTATACCCTTACCCAGGGTATGTATAATTTTGTACGGCCAAAAGGTGCCTCATCGAAATAACGATTTTAGACCCTAGGTCTCTTTGAACCAAATCCGTTTCAGTACATTTCGAGTTGATCTAGGGGTGTCCGTCGTCCGTCTGTTTGGCTGACTGGTGCGCACGATAACTCTCGAAAGGGAGTATCCGATTTGGTCCAAACTTGGTATATCGTAATATTATTGTCAAACTTAGATCGAGTTCGCAGATGGGCAATATTGAACCACTCCTTCTGGTACCTCCCCCACAAAAATTCGATATTTTCAACAAAAAAAAATTGTCTACTGTACAGAAAGAAAAATGATAATCCTATTTTGCTCTAACTTTACAAATCTTAATATTTGCATAAGTGCTAGGCGAGGGGCGAAAATGGACAATATAGGTTCACCCCATCTAGTACCTCCCCCACAAAGGGTCAACATTTTGAATAATTATAAGTCTGTGATGTAAGAGTCCAATTATCGTCTAATTACATACATCACAATAACATTGTCAACCCAAGTTTTGGTGTGAAGATGGACTCCTTCTGGTACCTCCCACACAAAGGTTTAAAATTTTTTAAAATCCGTGAAGCTCACAAAACGCGAAATCAACATCCGATTCCATTCAGACATGATATACCTCAATATTTCCATCAACACAAGTTATTTTATAAAGATGGGACCATTCGGGCCATTTCTTCTGGCACCTCCCCACATAGGGTTCCAGTTTGGAAAAACAAAACGCTCAAAGAAAGTGAAATAAGTATCCAACTCTCATCAAATTTCACACATACAAACCTTTTTACTAACACAAGATCTGTTGTGAAGATGATATATCTGCGAACCCCTTCTGTTACCTCACCCGCAAAAAGTTGAAATTTTCACTACTTTTATCTGTCATAATTTGCGAAACAAGTCAT